TCGCGACATTATTCGCACATTAAAAATGCGCTCGTTCGTTAAGGGTTAAAACGCAAATATTCAAAGATAATAGGTTTTAAAACAAATAACTCTCTAAGATTTAGTATATAATATTGCACATTAACTTTGGGCCTTCCCCAAATTTGTCTGTTAATAAAATAATAATTTCGTCGATGTAATATTATCAATCCATTCTAAATGAAACTACTCAATAAGCAAGGAACATTAAATTAACGTTTATGAATGTTGACTTTATGTATATTTTTTCGACGTTCTTTAATAATATTACATATATATTTTAATATAAAAGTTTTACTATAAAAGTATTATTTTTAAATATGATTTTTCTGAATGTTGTCAAAATATCTTAAAAGCGTCAGGGAAAATATTTTTTAAATGTTACTTTGACATTTACTTGAAGTCAATGCAACAGTTCGAAATTATAATTTGAACTTAGAAATAACGTGAATAAAATATTAATTTTCTATTGTTATAATATTGTTTTTTGTATTGTTCTAATATGTTCGAATCTCGCTGACTGTCCGCTATTTCAAGAAATTGTGTGTGTTGTAACCGAGATAAGAAATATAATCCTGTTGTCGTTATCGTAGCCGCAATAATCAGCGATTGCATGTTCTTATTCACCAACCCCTTGTTCGTCTTGCACGCTTTAATGTTAAAAGCGTCATTCCATCTTCTTTCGGTATGCAATAAGCAATAAAAATAAAATAATACTTTCAGCACGAAAGTATGTAAGACGTATTTAATCTATGTATGACCTCGGTCAGTCAGTAAGTGGTAGGGTCATTACCAGAGCTCCTATTTTTGAAATAGTTATGTTCACGTGTCACTGCGCAGATATATTCATATTTCAACACATTGCGTACCGCTCATGAGTTTTTTCGTGTTTCGCGCGCCATCTGTTAAGGACCGCTCACGAGTTTTCTCGTTTTTCACGCGCCATCTGTTATGGACCTTAGATGTCAACACACTGTCTTGTCCACATCGAATGAAGCGATCTCATTGGTGGAAACCGTGCAGGTCGATCTACGATAAACTATATAATTGCACGAATCCATAAAGCATTGCAGTTACATTGTATTTTGGTCATTTGAATAGCCTTCGTCTTCAAGTTCCTGGCGCTTTTAGAAATGCCCTCTCTCAGAAAAAGGAGGGGAACCAACGAAACTGATACACTTGCGGAAGTATTTAACGATCATTTATCAGATATTCCTAGTGAGATCGAAGATGCGGATGACTGTTTTGACGATTCCGGAAATGATTCTACTGATTCTACTGACAGTGAAATTATTCGACCTGTAAGGAAGCGCAAGGTGGCGGTGCTTTCAAGTGATTCCGACACTGACGAAGCTACTGATAATTGTTGGTCTGAAATTGACACACCACCACGCTTACGACTTTAATTGTTTCATTGTATAATTAGTTGTTTAATTGATTAAAAGTTTAATTGTTTTTGTAAATAAAAATGTTATAATTATTGAAAAACAACACCTAAAGTGCATTATGATCTGTAGTTATGATGATTTAAGTAACGCGCAGTTTGCCCAAAAACGGTGCCTGGCGTATGTCTCAGAGATTTCTATGCGGTACGCAATGTTAAATTAAAATAACTACGACATTTACATATACGCAACTATTTCAAGAATAGAGGCCAAGAACTCAGAGTGGTCATAAGTATCATTGATAATATGTTTAAATTTTATTGTTTCATCGATATTATCTCAAAAAATATTATAGGAATAATAGAAAAACTTTAGCGCAACGTTATTTGCAACGTTATGACACTCCCACTTCAATATTATCGTTTATTCTTAATTAATCTCCAAATCAGTGTTTCATTTCAATATTATCGTTTATTCTTAATTAATCTCCAAATCAATGTCAAAGTTTATTCATAATGATGTTGTGTACAACATTAAATGCCGACATATATGAAAATGTTATATGTTATTGAATATCGTTGTGATAATATCGAAGTAATGATTTTTTGTTTACTGGATTTATTCTTTATCTTAACCTATGAAATAGTATTTTTTTAGCTGTAAATCGATATATGTAATCATGTGTAAAACAAAGGACGCTCGGACTTATATAAAGTGATTTGTGAAAATGCACAAGTATATTCTATTTATGAAAATTTTGTCCGATGTTCTTCAACGACTATGTTATGAACAAACGGGCGATAAATATTTTAAATAAAACAATTTTAATATTCTCTCATTTTTATATACTTTAAACGCCCAATGTACATAATTATATACATTCAGAAAATCGTACTTCTCGACGGACAATTTTATTCGAATAAAAGATTTTTCATCAGGAACGTCCTTTAAGACGATCTTATCAATTTTACTTCAGTGGGATCGACGGGTGGGCCTTAAAGGGTCTTGAAACGAAGTATAAAAGTATACAGTTTTATATAGCGCCGAATTTATTAATTTACCACGCCGAATTTATTTATAATTTATGTATTTACTTTTTATATAAGCATGAGCGGTTTAATTTTTCTCACGGTGTCTTATCCGAAAAGCATTTCGTTCGGGAAATTGACATAACTCCGAGTAAATAGATTCGTTGCTGATGTAAGACATATCATTCCAGATACCGCAATTTGTTTGTCACGTTCAAAGTCATTGACCGGCCTGACTTGTTGCTACCCCACTTGGCCTGCGGGGGTTGAAATCATGGAGCTTTGGGATTTAAACACGGCCCTGTACGTGGCTGTCACCTCCGTTCAATAAAGACACGCGTGCGCCGTTAGCAGGTCCCGTTACACCCTGCGATGTCAGAATTCGGCGGGGCTAGTGCTCTTCAATGGTAAGAGTTCCTTATCACCGGTTAAAACGTTTCTCTTCAAATCGTGTCGGATCCGTGCGACGCGAATTCGTGGCACACGTGCAAAATGGACGAGTTTACCTGAGCGTCGTGGATTTAATTCGTGCGGTCGGTGTTCCGTTTTGAACCTCGGGGACTCGGGAACGTAATCGAGAAGACGAGGAAAGACAAAAAAGAGGGAGTGGATGGAGATTTAACGCGTTGTGGCTACTTTCGAATGCTCTACAAGTATTGCTCATTCTTTCGTTTCTTCCACATATTTTAGTTTAAACGTTTGTTTTGCAACGATATTTTACTCGCTGCCCATATTTCATCCCCTTGTGTATACTGATTTCGCAACGCTTAGTGTAAACTTAAAATCATAATTTTTCTGGGTTAGGTGAATATTTTTGGGAAATTATATATTAATTTGGATTAAAGGATAAACTTAATATTTTATGATTCTCCATACGTACGCAGACCGGAGGATATTCCGTACAGTAACAAATATTCAATGTTATATCCTCCCACAAAATATATTAATATGGACAATGTTAATATCTAATGACACCAAAAACTCCGTGCTTTGCTTCTGTGAAGGCCCGTAAATTCTTCGTTTGGTCGATTACATTTTTATACTCGTATAAAAAAAAATATGTATATTAATTCATATTTTAAAATATTCCCCTTAGTCTAATGGAGTATCTTTTGGAAAAACACGCTCGCAAAGTCGCGAACTCTTTTGGAGCATGTAAAAATAGCGGGGAGAAACAATATCGAATTGACAATGACTCTTGCGTGTTGATGATTAATCTAAAATGATTATTACGTAGATGTGACTTTCGTAATTAAGGTGATGAAAACGACGATATTTTTCGTTGAATACACATACGTAGTTCAGAAATACAAAATAATTCGATTATCGTTGCCCGATATATACTTTGTGTCGATTCGAATGACACACTTCCGTTGACTAGCGCTTCGGTTATTGTTAGTATCGTGGGTCGAAATATCTCGGCGCTGTCAATCACGATTTGCAGATGAGAGCACTGGACACAATCATGAACTCGACTTGCGCCTCTTGTATACTCGAACCGCCCCCCGACATCCTCCACATACCACCGCCGCCGTTCCCGGCTATCCTGCAGCAGGGTTCCGATTTCTATCCGAGCAGTGACATCCTGCCATTCTTGCCGCATCTAAATGACAGCCCCTGCAAGCACTTCTGCGACCGGCGCTCCGAGGGTGTTCAGTACATCGAGATGCCTCAGCAAGGTTGGTAAAGGAAGGCCAGAAACGTTTATAAAAAGATAAAAAAATAAAAACTTTTAAAGCTCGATGTAAAACATAATAAGGATAAAGGTTTACGAACGACGAAATACGCGTAACGTACTCTCTAATTTTCTCGAAGTGGAGTCTCATTCACGACAAATGAAAAGCGACGGTATTTCCGCTCGAACCGACAGTGAAAAGCACCGGCACTCGCGAAGCCGCAAGAATGAATGTTTCACTCAAGTTCAGAGTGGATTCTGACCTCATAGTGAATGTTTTAATCGATCAGAGCGAACTTGTTTCCGTGACGGTGGAATACATCAGATTCACTCTTCAGTTCAGATCGGAAGTATTCGCTCGACGTTTAAGAGCGGAGAATTCCGCTCCTTACGAGCGAAAAATCGCTTTTCCTCCGAATTGACTCGGCTGTCGATCGCTCTGTCTTTCGAGAGAAATTTCACCCCAAGAAATTCAGAGAGCACACTTTCAGGAACTGTATTCGACGACACGTGGCTCCTGATCCTGATATCGTCGTGCGTCGGCGTCACCTTCATCGGCATCGTGCTGGCGACGTTGTTCCTGAAGTGCAAGTTGTAAGTATATTCCTTCTGATCGGCACGCAGACTTCGTTGAGAATCTAACAGCTTTACCCTCGAAGTTCTCCCTCCGAAACTCTCGCGCTCGCGAACCTTGTCGTGTCTCCCTTCGGAAGCTTCCCTTCTTCCTCTTCTCCCTTTCTTACTTGATACACCTAACGAGAGCGAACGACTCGAACGTAATTCGCCGTAGCAACAGAAGCGGCAAGAGCGGCGTGATCTCCATGCCGAACGCGGCCTCCAGCATGCAAACGAAAAACGGTAGGGTGCAGAACGAGGCGGTGCTGTATCCCTGCGCGACCGACACCATGCAGGACAGCCGGGTGATGTGGGCCACTCTTACACCGCGCGGCACCACCAGGCACTACCTGGAGGAGCACACGTACGAGACCATCGGCGGTGGGCAGTTCCAGAAGCGCGCCTGTACGACCACACCAACCGAACATGTAAAACTCAAGGCAATCTAACAATACGTTTGTATTACGTGATTATTAGCCCCCCTGCGTCTACAGAGTGTCCCAGATCTGACGAGCCACCTCTTTCTTATCCGCTGATCTGTCTATCCACCGGTCGCTTTCTCTCTATCGATCGACTCGGGATCTTAAGCAGAATAAAACAAACCGGAAACTTAGAGGGGAACCTCTCGAAAGATAGCTCGACCAGTCTGGACACCGTGTACACGAGTGCGTAAAGCAACGATCCCGCTGAACGAATTTAGTCGCTCGACTCTCCCCCGCGAGCAAGTGGAACGCCCCGATAGAGCGTGAACCCCCGGATGTCCTTCTAGACTTACGCCGATCCGCCAGCCATTAGCCCGGTGCAAAGTCGGCCGAAGGACGACAAGGCTTTCGACAACACCGCGTTCGTGGATTACGAGGAGCCCTTGTCCGTCAAGACCGAGTACTATCAGCTCAACGACGTCCTGGAGCCGAACGATTCCGGTAAACCCACTGTCGACCACCCCTTCTCACCCCCATCCGATGTCTATCTTTACGAGACGCCTCTCACCGATGCGACGGCACGTGATTATTAATCGTCCATCGCCGTGTATTTTAGGCATTCTCACGATCCAACGTGGCACCCTGCGCCCGCGCGTCAGCTCCCCGACGAGAATCGAGCACCCGAACCTACCCCCGTTGAACCTCCACCCCCACAAGCGCGCGTCTCGCAAGGGCTCCGGGGCGCAGCACACCTCGGACACGCTGCTGCGAAGCAGCATCACGTCGTCCACTTATATTCCCACCATATAAGCCAGGCCTCTTCGCCCCCGTCTCTCTCGTCTTCTCTTCGTCACACCTCCGCGCCGCCGACGAGCGAAGCCCATCGACGCGCCGTGTCGCACTTCTCGTATCCGACACACACACACACACACACACACACACACACACACCGCATCATTCGTATCTAGTCATTGTGAGCACGCACGTACCGACACCGCGACTCGGCGAACCTCAAGCTGAGTTTGAGCCTTTAAGTCCGAGGAAAGTTTAAACTCAGCTTAAGATTCAGCGGACGTTGGTGAAATCCAGCGGAAGTCGAATCCGACCGAAACGACGAAGCCGTTTGCGAGGTGTGTGCGTGCTTCTTTTTTATCGATTGATATATGACGTGATCGTGTAGACGTAGAATAGGCTCGATCTTCGAGTGAAATATGTATATGTGTATGTTACATTTGCATCTTACGGAATAAAACAATGCGTAGAAAGGCGGCGTCTTTCCTCTCTTCGTCACCGTCACCGAGTCACCGTTCTGTCGCCAAGATATTATCGATCACTAATCCGGGAAACAATTTCCCGCGCATAATTATATATGATTATATGTAAGGCGTCATATAGAATATGTCCCTATATAAAAATATATAATTATGTACGAAGTGCGGCGATACAGTCGTATATGACGGTGTATAAGTACATCCGACCTCGTTTTGCACGTATGACGATATGTATGTACACTATATTGTTAAATAAAATATGAGGCATAACAGCAAACAGGAGAAAGTTCTTTTGTAGAATTAAAGAAAGCACAATAGTTCCGTATGTAACCAGATATAATTGAATGTAATCATATATAATTATATATTTTTACACGACATATTCTATATATAATTATATATGAGAAGGTTCCCCTCCCTTCAGGCAGTAAACACCCACCAACGACTAATATTACAGCAATGTTACAATTCCCCACTTTGTAATGTAACTGTTATATACAACGCGTGTCTCACTTATCATTAAGCGGGAAATTGTCACATTCACACAATGTTACTGTTAGTTGGCGTTTACTTATGGCTATTGATTGTTGTCGATATATCGTTGAAGCTTCATCGATGATCGCGAGGACGGAATGTCACGCGAGTCGCAAGATCAACCGCACCACATTACCTGGCTTCTTTTTTTCTGTCGTTTTTATTTAACAGGCTCTCTCGCGGGCGCGCTTCTCTCACAGGCGCGCCTGATACAATAATACATAAATGTAGTCGGAGGGGCAAATCGAATTTCTCGTTGTGCACAGTTTCAATACTTTATTCATATAATTTCGTAGTGTTACGGCATTATTCCTATGTATTTACAATGTCCCTAATGTCTCGGGAGAGAATATCTGTAATGCGTCAGTGCGCGCACTACGTTACTCACGTGTGTGTATATGCGTGTGTATCTGCTCTCCTTTTCTTTTATCTTCTCTGCCTGCTTTCGTTCTTTCTTTTTTTTTTTCGTTATTTTCTTCATTGCGAGAGATTAACGTGAAAATGTATCCTTCTTGAAGCTGATGAAAACACTATTTCAATATTTATATAACCGATATACGGCAAGCTCACAGTTCGCCTCGTCCCTCTCTCTCTCTCCCTCTCTCTCTCTCTCTCTCTCTCTCTCTTTCTATCTTCCTCTCTTCACTCAGCGCGCGCACGCGATCATGTCCTAATTATTAAATGTGAATGTGTAGCGCGGATTCAAATACTAGTTCCGCTCCCATTCGCGACCGCCGACGCGACGTCGCGATAAATATAAAAAATAGTCGTTTCACTCAGCCCCGATCCGTTTCTGCCGACTGTAAACTATATACCAGGCGAAATGATAAACTCGGATTAACTCGATCGAGACCCAGCTTAAAGGTACGCCGCATAGGGAAGGCGAACGCTAACGAAACGGGACCCTCCGCCCTGTTGACGTGTAAAAAATCTAAACGCACCACATACGCCTATCCCGTATTTACCGTATTTATTTATATATCATATAACCTGTGCGCGGGAAAGAAACGGCCAACCGTATCCGATCCTGCGGGACCGTGTTGCCTCGCGACGGTCCATCCTGGCGCTGTGCGACGGAGATCTCGTCGTGACCGCCGAGACCGACAGAGATCGAGCGGAATGTCTCGTATCGTATCGCGGAAATACGCGTCGGACGCGACGGATCGACGAATTCGGACGAGTTGGATTTGCGCGAGAGGTGAATCCAACCTCCTCCATCCGCCGCGGGTCGTACGTAATCGCGAGCAAATCCGAATCTCGTCGAAATCCTCTTCGCCCTTTTCAGTACTTTTCGCCGATCTCGATCCCTAGGCGAGATTTTCCACGGTGTCGCGTCGCTTCTTCCGATCCATTTCTCTCTCTTTCTCTCTCTCTCTCTCTCCTTCTCTTTTTTCATTTCTAAACCGCTTATTTAATTTTTTTCTTTTAACGAGAATTCCCGCACAGCACCAGGTTGAGCAACACGATCCGCTCGACGACACGTTCCCTCCGCCGCTTCGGGGATCAGCCACTTGCGCGTGTTATACGTCCTCTACTATACATACATACATACAACGTGTCGTAGAAATTCGCAGCCAGTCGACAACGAAAGTGCGTGTCCGCTCCTGCGTGGAATTTCGCAGGATTCTCTCTCACTTACACTCGTTAACACGCGGTTCTCTCCGTTCGCGCTCTCCGCCTCTCCTCCCGCCTCCGCGCGTTTCTCCGCCCGAACATATTCGCGAACATGGTTTACTATCTAATGTCCATAGTGCACTCGTACGTGTACGCGACCTGTACAATGTAAAATATAATTCCATCTAGCTATAGCGACTCTAGATACAGCTGTGAGTGAGCGTTTAACCATTACTTTTATCCCTTTCCCTCTTTCGCTTCTGCTTACTTACTCGTTTCTCGCTTATTCACCCCGGGTTATTATCAGTAGTGTCCGTTAATTCGTGTAGCCGTGGCGATATCTCGATACATAACTCCTCGATCACTCTCCGACTGCTCATCAGCGCTCATCCGCGACACGTTTCACCATTTTTTTTTTTTCCCTTATATCTTTTCCCTTTAAGTTCGACACAATGCGTAAGAGTTAATAGTAGAGTAACACTGCTCGGTAAATATATCTTTATAGAAGTTAAATTTAGTTTAGTATAAACGTTAGTCATCGGTACATCGAAGGATATGCAGATAGAGAATCGGAGGGCAGTGATAACAATATGTTTGGATTCTCCTGTCGATAAAGGGAAGGAGACGTCGGCTTCCGTAGGGAAAGGACCGAGGAGAAAGAAAAGGGACTACGACGACGAAGACGACGACGACGCTTTATCGCGAAAGTCGCTTTTTATCGTTAAGCTTGTCTTTTTTTGCTCTTTTCCCTTGCCATTTGTACAGAAATGAAATCCCAAAGTGCGAATCCTAGTCTCCGAAAATTCACGATCAATCGATCATCGAGGTGAAAGCGAAGAAGAGAAGAAACGTTTCTAACGTATCAATTGATATCGCTGTCGTCGGGTATATGTGTGTGTGTATATATATATATNTATATATATATATATACACATATACCCGATATATATATATATATATCTGTATATATATATCGTTAAAACTGCCCGCGCGCGCAAGGTTTAGTCACATAAATGTATACAAAATCCACACACCGATTTATTTATTCCATAGCCTACAAAGGACTTCGAGAGGTGTGGGGTCGGGGGGTGACGGGGAAGGGGTGAACAACTGCAAGTCCGGCGAAGACGAGAGAGAGAGTTTAAGATTTATTGTGCCTCGTTAAGCGTAAAAGCGATCCGCGCAGAAAATGGACCGCGGCACTTTTTCTGCCGTTCTTTTTTTTTTGTTCTTTTTACTTTTTACCTCGATGATAATAAATCCAAGCTCTTGTGCGATTAGAGATTAAAGAAGCTTCATCCGACGCGTCGACTCGCGGGATTTGTGTTGCGCAGCCGCGTCTCGCCAGCGTACTTATCGATATATCGTTAGGAAGGATTCACTCGTCGAGATCAAAAGTACGTAAACCTGTCGAACGGAAGAGGAGGAGAAAGAGGGAGGAAAGAGTCCGCTCGGGACCCGAGCGATGATGAAAGAACTTCTTATCCTCCACAGAGACCGTGCGGAACGGAACGAAAAGAGCGATTTAAGGGTGGGGGGGGGGGGGGCCGGGCTTTT